TACACATTTGATAAGAACTTTGAAACAAATCAGTTTTCTTGGTAACAGTTTTTTATTATTTTTCTCCTACTGTCAGTTCTTAATTCGTTGGACAATCAGCCTCGCAAAATGTGTCACATGAACTTGAAAGAACAGAAAAGTGAAAGATATCAGCTGCAAACATCCGGCTGTTATTTAAAAAGAAAAAGGGTAGCAAAATAAATTTTATACAGGGGTAACAATTCAGTAATGTGTAGTGTTTCGTACATTTTTTGTAAACAAGAACACCGAAACAATATGGCAAATATAAGATGTGAGGGCGAGAGGAGGTTGAACTTAAGAGACTGAACACTGGTTGGCGAGAGACATTTACAGAAACAGCATCTTAATGGGTCACATGTACAAATGTCATGTACACAAATGTTTTAAAACAGTCGCACAGAATCATGACGTTTTTCCACACACAACAGCATTTCTGCTACATACGTCAAACCGTCACTCCTTTTGTCCCTGGATTACTGTGATATGAGGTATACGTGAGGCAAATTCTTGCCTCAACATGGCAACATATTATTTCAGATATTACAGCATTGCATTCAGTCTGCCATGTTTGATGATTGCTTAAATGAGGCCATTAGGGCACAAAGGGGTTCAGCGACTCGGTCAGCAAAGTGATATAATTTCCAGCATTCGGGGCCCGTCGTTTCTATGGAAGACAGCGCAATTATAGTTATATTGTTGTCTTTACATAAAGTACATTTTCAAACCAGCGAGAAATTACATTAAACATTTACGAGACAATATTTTGTTGCTGTACTTCTAAGGAATAGGCACCCAATTTCTAACAGGACAAACAGGCTTGGTACTGCCAGCACAAGCAAAAGCTCTAAATGTATACGACACATTTCTCTATGTGTATACATGTTTCTGAGCTGAAGAAATACTTGATCACTATCACATTTTGTCATTAAAGTCAATATGAAAGCAAAGCTGATAAACTCGAGTAACAAGTCAAACTAAAACTAGGGGGTTTGAATTACATTTACATTATCCCAATTAAATATTAGCATTTCTAACCCCTCCCTAAAAACAGGAGGAGAAAGATCAATTCCCAGTTTTCCCATATCAACCCTCCCCTCATCCCATATGCTCAGCCCCGAGAACCCCCATCTGCATACAACATGTCTGATGTTTGAGCTTCTTTGATCCGACGTGGTACTTTACTCAATGTAAGAAATCGGTTCAAAGTGCTAATTGAAATAAGAGGAAGAACAGAAGAGGAAAAGGGGAAGGCCATTCTATCGCTGTCCAACAGCAACCTCTATTGGCCAAAGAAAAGCCTTAACATCATTTTTGTTCTCCAAAAATACACCAAGGACAACGTTTGACCCCTGAACCAGCCCCCTTTCTTCCTCAATTTGGACTGGAAGATGCCCAGAATGATTAAAACTGTTCTTTTACATAATATATATTTTTATAAATATATATATATAGATATATGTATTTATATATGGCCCTTATTGAAGCAAACATGAGTTTCACATTGACATTAAAGTACCATAATCTCTATATAGCCAAGTAGAAAGTGTTCTCAGTGTTCAAGTGAGCTGGCAGCAGTCAGTTTATGTCACACTCATTCAACAAGTAATAAAACATAAGAAATATCATCTTTGAAGTCGCAAATTTACACTTCTGAAAAGAGTGCTCACTGCACCTCGTAAGCCTCTCCTTTCTCACTTTTTTCCTGAGTAATACTTTAACCTTGTAACAGACAAACATGTTTTGTTTTGTTTTGTTTTTTTTGCTAGTTTTATTCTGGGCTAATCCCTGCCATCGTGGTTATTTCTATGTTGTAAAGTTGATTGCTCAAACACTTCAGCTCGTTGAAAAGGAAATACGTCTGGCTCTTACCCTACACTTACTGAAAAAGTTCATAATTAATGACCAAACCTAATGTCACTAATGTGACCAGAATAAACAGTAAAGTACATATTTAACTTAAAATTACAGATACTTAAAAAAAATAATAAAAAAAACTTGCATTTGCAGGAAGCCTTCCAGGCTCATTGCAGGAAGAGGAGTGGGCACAAAGACAAAGCATCAGTATAATTAAAATATAGATGTCACTTAAAAAAATAACAATAATAATAAAATAGGAGCACTGAAAAATTAAAATAAGGACATCGACTTTAACAACAGAGCATTTACTCGTTCTCAGGCTCTCATCTGTAGCTTTGGCTTGTCGGAGTTTTGGAACCTGTACTTACTGGCTCATTGACATCAGATAACAAACTACTATACCCTGAGAATTCAGACACAGGTGTCCGTATCCTGTGATCCACCTCCCCGCCAGAGTCAGTGCCGTAAGACAAGCCTCTGCCATCTGACTTAAACTGGGCGCCAAAGGCCTGGGCAAAGTTTTCAATCTGGTAGGAAGGCTTAGAGGAGTCCAGAGAGGCCAGATCCTGCGAGGGGGCCAGAGGGTAGGCTGCCGCTGTACCATTTTTGACAGGCGGGTGGTCCTTCTGGCTACTCAGGTCAGATGGGCTGATCTGGTAGGATGAAGGGGGAGTGGAGGAGTGCTGTTTCTCCATCTGTTCGGTGAGCTCCTGAGAAGGGGTGAGCTGCTGGTGTGTGGAGGCCTCCAGGCTGCCCAGGTGGAAGCTGTGCTGTGGTGAGGAGCCTGTCAGCATCGCAAAGTGAGACTTTGGCACAGAGGAGGACAGCGAAGGCAGCGACTGGCCAAACCCGCACTCCAGTGGGGACGTAGTGTAGATGTTCTTGTCAGCGTAGATGGGATTTCCTGGGTGGGAACCAGTGAAGGGTCCTGAGGCAAGAGGCCCCAGAGGGAAGCCTGCACTGTGGCTGGTGCGCTCCAAAGCTTGCAGCAGGAAGCGGGAGTATTCGTGCATCATCACAGTCTTGTCTCCGGATGGGCTGGGTGTGTTGGTGTTGTGGCTGATGTCAGCACCATCAGATGTGGTAGGGTTCAGTGCCACATGTTGGTCATTGATGTCAAAGTGAACATCCTGGTGTGAGTTATCAGGTTTCTGGGCATAATGGTCCAGCAGACTCTGCAACACTTCATCAGGGATCCCTGACTTGTCAAGACTAAGAGAAGCATCGCTGTCCATTACACCAGAAATGCCACCCTGGATTACAGAAGGCTGGGAAGACAAGTGGATGCTTACATCATACTCAGTGCTGGACCCTCCAGCTACAGGAGGTCCCGAGGCATTTGCATTGTTCGCTGCTTGAAGGTAGCGACGCTTCTTCAGAAACTGCATGGCGTCATCGTAATTGCTGCTGGCGGGTCCGACTTTAGCCCCATTACCCTGCAGGAGCCCAAGGCCATCCATACCCCCACCCTGCTCCAACGTACCTGCTTTGACCTGTCCCAGACCTGCTTTATCCAAGCCCTTACGATTGGCCTTTTTGAATGCCATCTTTGGAGCTTGGCCGTTGTGGCCTTGTTGCATTCTAGGGTCTGGCTCAGTAGAGGAAGAAACCGCTTGATTCTCCAGTGAGTATTCATGGATAGTATAGCCTCCAGATACAGCCCCATGCATGTGGGATGCCCTCAACCCCCCTCCATCTCCCTTCTTCTTTTTGCGCTCCCCTCCCTCTCCAGAATTTTTAGACCTTCCCCTCTTCCTACCACCACTCCCAGCATTTCCCTGAGTTATCCCATAGCTGCCATTACCCATTTCTACACAACTCAAGTCCATCATCCCAGGATCCAGCCCCTTCTTTATGGCTTCTCCACAGGTTCGCTTGTGCTTAAGCAGTCGGTCTGTCCGAGAAAAATACTGAAACAACACGAGTTGCATTTAAAAATGACTGAACTTATTTTAAAATAACAACAGTACCAATAAACCCTTTTGATGGATAGCAAAGAGGAGGCTTTAATTAGTTCACAAACCTGTTGGCAGGTCTCACATCTGTACGGCTTTTCTCCACTGTGCGTCCTTTTGTGTCTTTCCATGTGGTATTTCTGAATAAACCGCATGTTGCACTGGTCACAGCTAAATGGCTTCTCTCCTGTTACATAAAAACAGCCACTCTATAAATTAGTCATCCTTTAGTGTGGTAAAAAACACATAATGACTGTTGAGTTTGCATTAGGCCCCTGGGTCATATGATTAGTTGTCATAAATTACTCACCACTGTGGATTTTCTCGTGTCGCTGGAGAAGGTACTTCTGAATGAAACTCATGTTGCACTGAGTGCATCTAAAGGGTCTTTCACCTGAAATAAGATCACATGATCACTGTGATGTTATGATAACTCATGTGATATAGTTCTTTAAAGCAGGATATGCACATAACACGTACCCATGCACAACTTACGCAATCGAGGACAGTATTTACAAGCCGTCTGTGTGTCATAAAGGTGTTTATTCAACTTTGGCAGTCTGGCAGCTTGAACAAATACCTGTGTGTGGGTGTGTCACTGCTATTGCAACACATGGCACTGGATTTCAGAGGTGCTTACCATGTTTTATTCTCTCAATTTTGCCTCTTAGAGTAAAGCCCATTGTTTTAAGGAGGAGAAGAAACAAACGTCTTCTCTAACTTTTCTTTTTATAAAAGGCATGTATGAGGTCTGTTTATTAAAAAGGAAGCAGCGCACAAAAATCCAAGGCTATTCTCAATTTAAATTTATTCAAGTATGACAAATCTCAACTTAAAAATCCTCTTCCTGAAAATACAGAGTGACTTTCAGCACACCTGCCACTTTTAGAAAGTGCTGTGGAAGTCCTGATCTGACCTCTTGTACTTATGCCTCTGCAATCTCCACTACTGTACCTCCATTAAGCCAAAACACTAAATGTGAATTTCATTTTCATTTTCAAGGAAGGAGGAAAATTTGGAGAATCAGCTGGATGTTTGTGCAGGTCAAAAACTTCTGCGCTTTAGACCCACCTCATGTTTGTACACACAATCCAGGTCGTTTCCAATGAATGATAGTCTCTGCTTAGGCTGCTACCCACATGATACGGACACAATTAAGTGACACAAAGTGGACGGATGGGGAGATATGTAAGGTACACCTTAGTGCGTAGTAGAACTCTGCATTGTCAGCCTTACCTCTGTAGATTAACTCACAAAGCAAAAATCCCATTAATGACATAATGCTTATGGTATGCTCCTCATCAAATGTGCCACCTTAAAGCTTGGACTCCTCAACAGAAAACTCCTAAAATCTGCCCCTTCTGCACTTGGCACTTCAGGGATGATCTTCCACATCAAATTCTACAATAGAAATGTGGGTTTTCTCTCTGTACACCCCAAAGGAGATCTGGCACATTAACACTAGCTCCTGGCCTGCTCTTTTAATCAATTTTCTATAGTCTATAACGAAACATTTATCACACCACAGCTAAACATTCAGACAAAGAGCAAACAAAGGAAATAAAACATTTCTCAGACAAGGTCTGGAGGAGCCAAATTATATTTTACTTGATAACGAGACAGAAAGATTAACCAGCATGTGCACTTATGCACACATACAGGGATTTTATTTTTATTTACAAGAACTTCAATCCGCAAGTGGATTAAGCTTTATTGTAACCAGAAACTGTAATGCAAAACCTTAAAAGAAGATGGATTTAATTTAGAAGTGGCAGCTAGTGCGATCATGTGCCCTTGTAAGCAGCAAACAACACATTTACAATTAAGCTTAATTATAGAAAAAAGGCATGGGTTTCCCTATGATGAGTAGTGATAAAAGGCTGTACAGGTAGAGGATAGGCCTCGCATCATATTTGTGTTTGCCTTTCACAAACAAAGAGCATCTAAAACAACCTGAATGTTAGGATAGCAGTGAAGCTCATGGCCTGGAATAACTTCTATTAAAATGAAGCAAATTCAATAGATTTGATTAATCCAAAGCACTTAGTAAATACTGGACAAAGAACTATCTGAAGATAATATTACAGTAGAAAAGCAATAAGCTACGATGCATGGGCCAATGCAGCATCTGCCAAATGACATCATCATTTCCTTCCTTGTATTTATTGTGCTAACCACTGAGATAACCCAGGAGGAAATGCACAGAGCAGAAAAATCTAAGCACTGTGGTGAAATCGACACACTACAATACCTGTGTGAATGAGAACGTGTCTGCGTAGATGATAGGAGCTTCTGAAGGATGCATTGCAATGTTCACACATGTGAGGCCTGGATCCTGGAGACAGGTTACCTCCATCTGCATCCAGCATCACTGACTGCTATAGAACAATACAGGAGAGAGGGGGATGGGTAACAATTAGCCATCTTTCTCTACAGGATGTATCTAAAATATCACTGTCTGAAAAATATTGCACTTTTTTGCAATTGGTAAAGTCTTCTAACTCAAAATGCATAATCTATTTTTCAACATTAAACTCAAGTCTGACTTGCACTTAAAGCTCCATGTAACTCACAACAGAATTGAAATGGAACAGATGTTTGTAAATACATTGAAATCTCTGGTCCAGTAACAAAACTGTATTAAATGTAAAGTGATTGTATTACTTCACTTTGCATTGCTTTGGTTAAAATTGATTGAAATAGACAAAATACTTTGTGCCAATCATCTTTTTATGCCCCCCCCCGACATTTCTTTTTGTTTGTTTCTGCCAAAAGCAAATTAGCACACTTGTATGTTCTTTGTGATAATTATTGATGTGATGAGGACTAACTAAAATATGGTTGCATTCAGTTTTATAAATACAAGACAAACCTTTGCGTCACTTCTCCTCCTTCTTGGTTTACCCTCCTGTCCATCACCATTTGACCTTCGACCTTTTTTCCCAGTGGGCTCCTTTTCTAACTGACTTGGCAGCTGTGAGGATGACAATAGGAGAGGGAGAGGGCCGTGAGAGCGAGCCATGACAAGAAAAATCACTTGATTGAAGGTTAAAGGCCTGCAGTCTCAAACTATCACGCAAACAGATCCACGTTTGCTGCTCATGCAAACAAACAAAACGCTTGGACAATCTCTTGTAATTGTCTCTTGGAAAGTGATTGCGCAAGATGTGGTTCTAGTGGGCAGAATTTATTGTTCTTTTATGGTCTAGCAGCCTCTAACTCACCACTTTTCATCTACTATTCTTACGAAACTGCACACTTTGCAAACTAAACATTCAAAATGACAACTTCTTAGTAAACTTCACTGCAACGAATAGCATTAATTCAGAGAGCAGGAAAATGAGTGCCTTTTCTTCGATTTGTTTGCCTTCCTGCCCTGCAATTTCTTTCCCAGTAAGCACACTACTCTCCTCGCTGCCATATGGAGGCTGATGGGACAAATGTGGGTGCACCTGCTGTTTTCAAATCAGCCCAGTCTTTAGGTCAATCTGGGGAAAGTCCAACCAAAATAAAAAGGGTCCAATTTTGTCTAGACTATGGAGTATTTAAAAGACAATATTTTGTAGGCATTGGTTTATTACCAGAAAAGGAAAAAACATCTGGTAAAAAGTATTTATTTTTCACTATCTTATGATAATTATTAAGCAATTTCTTTTTTTTTAAGCAGTACATTTATAAAACAGTCTTTTATTGCAACTTGCTATGAAAATCTGTGGATTCTAAAGGCTTCCAATGTTGTGTAACAAAAAATGTTAAACATCAATTTTAAATGAATGCTGCTCAATGAAGACAATAATTGGCTGTTTTTCCATAAACAACACTGGCGAACTCTGACGGCTTGCTATTGTTAGGAGAACATGGATGTGTATATTTGTATCTGAATGAACACAAAGGAGATCTGAAATGAAGCGCGTGCTCAAACAAGACAGCTGTGTCCTCGCCACGACGTTCTCATTCATGCTGAGGCTGGATGACGTCAACCTTCTAACCAGAAAGAGAAACTACTTTGCATTTCATGCCGTCAGTAGATTTATCGCCATATAACTAGCTTCCACCTCAGGTTTTTCAGCTTATGACGTGCTTGACAACACAGCAGCGCTACTTGGGGATCAGACTATCCAAGACCTAAAAACACACTCATGATCAAATGCATATTACTAATTTTCTCTAATGTACGTTCCTAATATTATATTATTTACTCATCAAAACCACAAGGAGGCCATCTTATGATTAGAGCACAAACAATTAAGGATTTCATGCTCAATTTCTTTGTTATATATGGTGCAAAATTCAATATTTCTAAATGTTATTGCAAATCTTTGTTTTGGTACATTCGGGGGTTAATTAGTTTAGAAAATAAGGCAAGTGATTGTTCTCTTATTTTGTCCAGCGAAGGCTCAAAAATGCTTCAAGAAAAACCATTGATTACTTTAATAAATTAAATGACTTTTTTTAAAATATTTGTATCTATAACCTGATAATGGGAAGAAATTCAACTTTTAAAAAAATCATACACATGTATGATTCCCTTACAAAACTGCTAGAAATGAATCACAGTCTGCAATCCTCTCAGAAATACTTACACTGCCCATGTTGAGATCGTGCACCAATAAATCTTGGTTGTTACCGACATTCACCTCCAGCAGCTCTGTGCTCTTTACCAGGCCACCAGGGTAGAGAGGCAAGCGATAATCGTGCTCTGTCAGCTTCTCCTGCTTGATACCTATAGTGTGAACATAGTCTCCCACACCTGCACATCCCAGGCTGCCAGCCTGGTTGTCCATGGTGCAATCAGGGGAGTCACGCTCCTTCTTCAGGATCATTTCTTGAGGTGGAAGGTCCTGCATTACGGAATGGGCAGCCAGCCGTGTGAAGCTGGTGACAGGTGGGAGATGGCTGAACATAATCATGCCTGCTCCAAAACTGGAGTCCATGCTCCCGTTGCAGCGCAGGAATTCATTCCCTAGTTTGTCTTGAATGATGCTCATGGTGAAGGCTGGTGGGCAGGAAAACTATGTGGTGAAAATCAATGTGATCCTGTGAGGAAAAGAATGACAGCAGGACTATAATATTACATAATCACAATAAACTTTAAAGGATATCTATAACTAGCTATCAGGATGTGAGGACATACAAATAATAGTCAATAGACAACAGTTATGGAGCCGGTTAAGCTTAGCCTACAGGAATCGGTGTCACGGTCTCTGATCTCACAACTAGACGCTTAGTCGGATTAAAGTGACAATTTGTGGGTCAACAAAAGGCTACAGTCTGGAACAATGACAAGTGCAAATAAGCTGGTGGTACAGTGTGCAAAATTCTTTTCCCAATTACCGTGTGCGTGCTCGATATTTTACAGGACAAAAAGGTGACAGCCAGAGCTGTTCTGGCCACAACATGAGGGGACAGGATTGTACTTGTATGTTAATCTGTTTGATGGTGCTGTCTGACCCAGTCATCCTGTTTGAATGAGCTTATCTGCCAACGAGAGCTCACACGGGCTGTATTAGAAAGGCTGATGGTGTAATTACGTGGCTGCTACATAAACAACAGCAACCAAGGGGAACAGATCAGAGCACATGCTAGTATGCCAGTTTTGATCATAGTGAGGATAATGCATGAACACAGGACCCGTTTATTATCTGTCCCACCTGACCCACCGTGTACTAGACCACAAAGCATATTCCATCACAGAGAGCTCAAGGTAGTATTTCAAGTTTCTGAAACCAGAATGGGATGTTTACATCTAACACATAACCAAGATATTAGTGTGCATGTAAACATACTCAGGCTGGAGCCAAATGCACGCATCTGAACAAGATTAGGAGTTAAAACGTCATTATTTACATCCAAATCTAATTTTACCAATATTTGCTAAGATGTCTGTTTACATTATGATTCCCAGGATAATAATACAACCGTAAAAAACTACAATTATATGTTGAACATGTCTCTCACCCCTCCGCGAGTGCTTTCTGCCTGCAGCCTCTTGGGGTACGCTAGCAGAAATAACCAACTCAGCTAGCAAAAATCCAACTTTGTAAATAAAATAAATAAATAAGTAAATAAAACTTAGTCGAAGTACTTAACTATGTTTTTTTTAATGCGCTAAAGCAGATAAACTGTGTGTTCCCATATGGACATTTAGGAAAACTACCGTTCGTCTTCTATGAAATTAGCTCCCTGGCTAACCATCTGGCTAACGACTCTTGCGGGGCCCTTCTTTGTGATGCAGGAGCAGGCAATAATTAATATCGCCATGCAATAACAGCAAGCAGATTTACGATGAGAAAAACGCCGAATGACGCGAATACGAACAGGAAAACGACTGTAATACGAAGAGAGACACTTCTTTCAAAGCATCTGAACAAAGTTAGTTAAGTACTTTTTCTTAACGCTGGGTTTGAATATTTGAATTAGAGGCAGGTATCACCACAGAGGTACACACAAGCCAAACTAAATCTGTGAGGTGGAGAAATGATCAAGGACGAAAGCTGTTTTGAGTGGGAACATGAAATAAATGACTACAACTTACATCGTGTGCTATTATTGACGGGCTTCTTTAAATGTTGGCTTTGTTTCCCGGACAGTTAACCGATTGTAAACGATGGGAGCGACAACACGGGCATGACCCATAACAAACGGCCCACACAACCCCAGCGAACAATGATGCTCGTCCGACTAGCCGAGACGGCTAACTTAGCCGCTAACTAGCGGTAACGTTGCTGCGCTCCGCTTTGTTGTCTGTCCCGTACGAGGAGTTCAAACACAGCTCCCGCCGACCCTGTAACCAAAGTTGGATTTTATAAATGTATCTTACCGGTGCAGGACCATGACCCTGCTGCTTTGGCTCGCGTGGTTTACCCTTAGCTGTCCGTTTTTTAATATCTAGAGCCAAAACATTGTTCTCCCGCAGCTGCTGGGTTCTTCCATCTTTGCTCGGCGCGGAGCATTCTGGGTCTCGCAGGCGGACGCGTCCTAAACACAGACAAAACAAACCACCTCCTATGTTCACGTACAGCCTACCGTAGTAGTATTTCGGTTTTCACTTTCACATCACTCATTGTCTTAAAAAACAACAACCATCAAAATAAACCTTATTAGTTTTTGAGAATCCGCTATAATTAATGTATTTTATGCAAAGTATCAAACAGACACCATTTCAACTTCTGTATAAGCCTTTGTTTCAACACCTTTAAATTCTGAAGGTATTACAAGATACCTGGTATTGCCAGATAGGACAGAAGAATATATTTTGGTAAAGTGCCACAGTTACCAAAAACAGTTTAGAGTAATGTTTTCAAAAGCAAGTAGAAAATCTACTGGAGTTTTCTTTCTAAAAAAGCACTAAATAAATAAGTAATTGCAAAATATGTGTTCAGAACAAATGCTAAAGCACTGACTGTAAGCAAGAGTACTGACTTCAGACTGCCATTAGGGTATGTAAAAATACATGGTATAAAGTAACGTATACACAGTTAAATGCACTAAGATAAATAGCAGCCCTTTCTTAAAATTTCAAACCAGTAGACTGTGATTAGACAATAGGACTCTCCTTACAGCAGAATACTGTTAATACAGTATATTAATATCTAGTAAACAAAATCTTAAACACTACTCTCTCAGTACCTTAAGTAGGTACAGAATTTACATATGACATGTAGTGGAGTGACATTAACTAGTAGGTAGAGGAACAAGTGCCTCAGCACATATCAATAAATATTCTATCTCAGTTTCTGAAAATATTGAGCACTAAAGTGGAAAAGTGGTAGAACACCCATCAGTATTCAATTTTTGTTTTCAATAAATCTTCCTTAGGTTCACATATCGGAGGCTGCTCTTTCACACAGCGAGTCTCAGATGCTCAGCTCAGCGTTTTAAAGGGATCATGACAGATGTGCTTGGAAGCTCTCAGACCTGCTGGATGAATGATTTTGTATACATCTAAAAGGACATCAGAGTTTGTCCTCGCACCCATAGGCTCCTAATTGCCTTCACTAACAAACAAATTAATTCAGAGAGTGGGGTACAATGAAAATGCAGAGAGTGGAAAAATGCAAAAAAGGTCAGGGAATGGATTTTTGATGTCTCTGATCTTTACATATATCAAAATTGACAACCCACACAGCTGACAGTGATATCTTTGAAATCACTCTCATCTCAGAGTGTTTAAATATGCATGGCGGTGATGTCGGCCCGATGAGCCCAGTCTAGTGGAAAATTAGTCATTAGAATGTGAGAATTTGCATTTGTTTCAAACCAGATAATTAAATGAATAATAAATTAATTTGATTATTTAAGCATACGGTGTTAAGTAGTGACAACCATATGATTAAAGCAGAAAAAATAAAAATAAAAGAATTATGGGGGCAATGCAAAAATTATAAATACAATGGTCAGATATACTGTTAGGTATAGTGAAAGTTGTCCCAAATCAAACTGCCTTGGATTTATAACTTCATAATAAGTTTAACATTAATTTATGTTTCATTCTAAAAGTTTTGAACTATTCCTTTAAACTATACTTCACTCTAGTCTGCTTAGATTTGCCATAAAGTCTCATTAACCCCAAAACAAAAGGTATGTAAACACATCTAAAATGGTCCGCACAAGCTCGCAGACAGTGAGGAGACACCCTGGAACTATATGGTGTAAATACAAAGTCATGTTTTGAATCTTCAATGTCAGTCTCAGCTAATGTTTGGAAACATCAATGTATGGCTCAACTTTCCCTCAGTGTCTACTATCAGCTGAGTGTTTGGGACATTAAGGTCAGAGACATTAGGTCTCCTGTTCAATGAATGCCCTCGTTGTGGAGGAGACACAAGAGTGAGCGTGTCTGAACCTGAAGAAGGGTGGAACACGAGAAAAAAAACAACCAATTTTCATCTCAGGCAAGTTGTGTATCTTATGACACAGATGGTTAGCACTTCTAACTGCTCATTAATAATTCATCCTGTGCTGCA